CTGCCTGACACTTTGAAAAAGTTTGACTTACTGTTCAGACACATTGGCCTCCGGAGCAGCATGAATGTCTTGATAGGAAGCTTAAAGTTACAGCTTACCTTCAGTTTAAGAGAAATAAAGAAGGAGTTGCCTAACAATATTCTGGCTGATGGAAAATGTAACTTGTAAGTGAAGAGTATCACGCGTTCATGGAATTGCTTGGATGCTCTTAAGTCCATTTTCAAGGCTTAAAAAGTAAATTCTGCTTCAGATAAAACGATTAAGTCTAAAGAAAACTATAGTTTCACTGCTATTTATCTTAACTAGTTAACTGTGTTTGAATTTTTGGAAAGAAAACACTTGATATGTCTTTTGATGAGGCTAATGATATAATTATACCCCAAAGTATATATCAAATTGAAGGTGAAGATGAATCAAATTGATCTGTTGAAGGTGGAGCATGGTAACCTGACAACAGCCAGATGCATGTCTCGCTCATGCATCTGGCTGTTGTCAGGTTAGGAGCATGGAGGAGAGATTTGGAAATTAGTACATTCAAAGAACTGTTCTTTCTCCCAGTCTGGATAAATACAACATATTTAGTGTCACAAATCAACACATTCTGTAAAACAACAACACAATTTTGGAAAAATATCTTCTTAAAAAAATGTGTTTTCGTTTAGCGTACCAACATTTTATTATTTGTGAAAACAAAAAAAAAGACAAACAGTTCTTGCAAAAGGTTGGATATGTTATTTTTACATGGGATGTTGATGTTTGTGGAAAATTGTGTCACAAAGGACATTTTTTTCCACCTTAATCATAAAAACAAATAATAATAAAAAACAGATCCATTATCTTGCACAAAGTCATGGCAGTTCATCAATAAAAACATTTTAGCATTTTTCCTAAAATTTACTGTATTTGTTAATAAAGTTATATTTAAAAAAAAATACCTGTTCTCTTTCATTTTTAGCAATTTTTTATTTCATTTTAATAGGTTGCAGATCCTTGACATGGATCAACAAGCAAATGGTGATAATCAAAACTAGTTGCTTACATGTAGTCTGATAAAGGAACTACAGCCTAACAACCAGTTAGTACTCTACAACTGCTTATTATTCTAATTTATTGGGACCAGAGACTAGAAAGCTAAAGCGTAGTTGTGAAGTGGAAGTTAACAAGTTTACAAATTTAATTTATGTTCAGCCCATTTTTAATGGAAACAACTTGAATAAAATCTAGTGAATAAATTGCCTTGACATTCAATTTTTGCAGTCCAGTTTGTGGAATTGTCTGTTTAGAACAAACAAGCAAGCTGGAGTGGTTAAAGGAGATAGATGGAGCTACATGCAAAACCAATAAAAAGGCTCCAAAACGCTTGTAATGTAACAAAAGGGATCCTCTAACCAAGAACAAACAGAGATAAAAATGAACAAACCAAACAATACAGCCAGACCTATATGGAGGGATTTAGATTTGTATTTGTTAGAATGGCCCTGTCAAAGTCCACACCTGGATTCAACTGAGAAAAAAAATATGTGTAAAGATGGTCTTCATCCAAACTCAAAAAGGCAAACGTTTACATATAATATGAAAGCTGCAGCTTCTCTGCTAGTTACCTTTGTTAAGCTATCACATAAATAAAATTAAAATCCATAAACTTAGCTTGTGGTTGTAACACTGAAGAAGTTTGAAATATCTAAGGGGTATCAGTACTTTTGGGAGACACTGCAAATGTTCTTAATTTGCTTTGCAACAATGACCTTTAGCTAAGCCACCATCCATTTATTATTTTACTAAATCTTTTAAATATAATATATATTTTCTTGAAAAGGGTAACGAGAACCCAGCACACAAAAAAACTTCACACAATTATTGCTAGATGTTTGATTAACAAAATACGCGTTGAAACATTAAGGCAGTAAAATCAATGCTGAATGAGTTTTTTTAAAGCAAGCAATTTAAATATATATAGTTCTTTTTCTAATAAGGTGTTTCTTTAATGATCATCAAATTTGTGTCTTTTTAAAACAAGATGCATTTTTATGATTGAGATTAAAAGGGCCAAAAAACAAACCCTCTAAGTCCAAAGTGTGCTAGAATCTGGCTATTTATGCAGTTAATCCCAGCTGGATAAAGACATCACAAACAAAAAGTGATACAGTTTATTATATTTTCAGAAAGATATACATATGCCTTGCAGAGTTATTTCTCAAAGCCAACATTAGATGTATTTTGTAGCTACTTATTCCAATTAAAACAACACTGCTTGAGAACATTACCATATTAAAAGGAACTGGGACCTTTTAATATTAATCAGAGTAATATTGCTCTTTCTGGGAAACCAAAAGCCTGAGCCCATTTGTGTGACCCCCACAAGGGCAGAGCTCCTGCTTCCATAAATACCACCAAGCCCACCTGAGATGGCTTATCGGAGGGGCCTGTGTCAGAGAGATGGATAGAGCTACACTAAAGAGCACTCTGGTTCCACTTATCCATGAGGATATGTACTCCCCTATTCCCTAACACAGGCAGCTCTTGAATTTCCATGTGCCTGCCGTCCTGGCAATATTTGGTTGCAGTGCATATTAACGGTCTGTGTGTGCCCCCATATCATTCTTCATTTATCTTATAGATCTACAGATTTTTTCCTATAGATTTGTCCTATAGATTTTTTAAATTTCTGATTCACTGCACTTCCAGGTTTTCTTTCTTTCTTTCTTTAGCATTTTCATAAAAACGAAAGTGAGTACTCCTCTTACATGTTTGATAATTTCTTTCAATATATCTTTTTATTCTACAACAATTAGCTTGATTAAAGCTGCACTTAAAACTTCTGAGAAAGCTATTCTTCTTTTAGTTTTATGGCAGAAAATTGTGGACTTGGACTGAACGTTTTAACAGGATATACTTACAGGTTCCTCTTGCTCGTTACTCAACAGCCCTCACTATACGGCTCCTCCCCAACAGCAAAGCCCACCATGAACATCCAGGTTACCAAGCAGTGCTATAAATGATTGGCATATAAACAGCTGATACATTCACTAGTAGGGACACAACATTAATGATAGGCTTTGCATTGACCCACAACTTGTAGCACACTGGCAATCTTAAGCTTAAACAGGCAGGGAGGGTTGTGAGCAGCATCTAGTCTACATGAGCATGATTGACACTTTCTAGTGCACCTTTAGGAGTGTAAATTCACTGTTCTCTTCAAATTACTCAACCATTAATGTCTAACCTGCTGGGGAAAAAGTGAGTACAGCTGTGATGTTAGGTTCCATCTAAAAGGCCTTGCTTCGCTTATGGTCAATCAGAGAAGCTTAATGCATGTGCTGAGTATTGAGAGGTTTTTTTTTTTTTGATAGACATGAATGGTGGTCTGCATCGCTACAAAGGTTATGGATCTGGGGCAATCCGCCTGTTAGTGCTCATAACATGCATTTCAAACGGCATCAAAATGGTCTACATGGCTGTTATCCCACAAGGAAGCTTCAGCTACAGCTGATACACAACAAAACTGCAAATGGTTCACTAAAAACAGTGAGAATTAGTATATGGAGGATTGGGATAAAAAGATAAACTTACCTGGTTCAGTGAGAGTCAAGCTTGTGAAGTTCCAACCAGTTAAAAAATTCGAACATGTCTATTAACCACAAGCAAACCTCGAAAACAACCACTGCCTTGCTAAATGGAATGAGGCAGGGCTTTCTCTGCCAAGACTTCAGACCTGATAATGTTTTCAGACCTAAAACTTATCAAGCATCAGCGGGGCATCATTACAAAGAAGGATGAGGAGTGTGAGGTCTCTAACAGCCTCCAAAGTGTAAAAGATGATTGCAGGGTCAACCTGTAAATATCTAGTGAGTCCATTGCCCAAGAAAGTTAAGGCATTCGAAAATAAAGGCGGTCACACAAAATATTGACACTCTGAGAAATGTCTTGACATATTCACTGAAAGATTAATTCTCTTTTGTTGCCAGTGGTTTAGACATTAATTATTTTGTGTTGAGTAATCAGGAAGGGAAAATGCATAATATTAAAATATACACAAGGAGTATGTTAGGTTTTGTGATAGGGTATTACCTCCTTGATTCAAATCGAATTAAAATGAATCTTGAATTTGCAGATAATTTTAAATCAGGAAAAAATATTTCTTGGTACTTTGTACTCTACAAATATGGATAAAGATACTGATGTCAGGTTGGGTGGAGGTTTTGGAGGACCCAAATGCAGACATGAGGGAGGCAGAGATGAGTTCTTTTAAGTTTAATGTCCAAAAAGCAGCAACTGATGCAAAAATCCAAAATAACAAATACACTAAAACTACAATCTAGGAGACATCCAGGAAAACACACATGAGGAGGCAGGAAACGACAAGGAAACAACCAAATAGTGACTGAACATAAGGTGTATAAATGGGAGACTGAACAAAGATCATGGTAATCAGCAGATTGGGAGCAGGTGTGGATAGAGGAATTGTGAAGGGAGCTAGGAGAAGGTGACTGACACAAGAGGGCGACAGAGAGTAAACAAGAAATACATAAAAAATCAAAAATATAACCAAAAACAATAAGAACAACACAGAATGGAAATTAAATCAATAAACTAGAAAACACACAAAAAATGAATCAAAGTAAAAATGAAAACTCAAAAAGAAAACTTGGAGAACCAAAAAGTGTAGTCATGACAACTGAATGTTTTTTTGACAAAATTCCATCAGTAAAAGAAGGTTAACTGCATTATCCCAAAACAGCACACTGGTACAATCTTGTCTATTTATTATGCACCATAGAACAAAAAGCATGTCATAATATATAATAAAATTATATGAAAATTATAAACATTTCATATTTAAATTGACTAGTTCAGTAAAATATTGGAGAAATTAAGCATATGTATAGTTTACTGTTTGTTTTTTGCTGTATTCTTTTATGCTTGTACATATAAAAATCTAAGATTAAAAAAAGAACAGCTTAATTTGTGTAATCTCCTGTATATTTCATGTTTGTGTGCAGGTAAGAACCCATCGCAGCAGTTTACAGCTGTGATCCATGTGGTAACTCCTCTGCAGTCCCAGATCTCTCCTGTGGTGAAGCTCATCATCGCCGTGGCCAAGTCCAAGTTCTGTGCACAGGTGAGAAAATCAATACAAACCCTACTATGATCCCACGCTGTTACTGCTTAAAATAATAATATTTTTTAAACTGTTTTCTGTGATAACCACGTTAATAATTACATCAGTTCTTAATTTTTGATCATGGAGATTTTGAAAACACAGATTATGACCAAATTTTTTTCATTTGCATTTAAATCTAGTGGTCTTATCTTTACTTTTTTTTTACATAATTTTCATGTTTTTTTTATGGAATATTTGTAATGCTCTGGTTTGCTATTGTGTGTTTGAACGTATAATAGCCTTGAAAAAGGCTATTATATATCATGCCTCTTCAACTTTCACACTTTCTATACTTAAAAGACAAAAAATATCCATCATTTATAAGTGGTAAAGAGACAATTTATTAATTAATTATGTATTAATTAACAGATAGATTTTTGATATTTAATTACCATTGATAAAATGCATCTGAACCACTTTTAAAATAGATGATTTTGCCCTCCCACGCTAGAAATTGAACTTAATTGACCTCACAATGGAGAAATTCACTCTCTGCATTTAATCCATCCCCTCGGGGAGCAGTGGGCTGCCACTGTGCAGCTCCTAGGGAGCAGTGTGGGGTTAACCCCCAGATTCCACATCCTCCATCTCTGCTCCACTCTGTCCCACTCACGTATGTCATGCAGAGTACCTGTCTGTCACGTTAATCAATGAGAACTGTTCCACATCCACCGATACCGCCTCACCGTCCAACGTATTTTTTCTCCATCCGTCACTTTCAAAATACAGAGACGAGCAATTTTTTCTCCGGTCCAGCCAGGTCAAGATCTATAATTGCAATCGCACCAAACAGGAAAAAGAACATACAGAAGATCTGGTTTGTCAAATTAAAATAGGCTTAAAAGTTGAATGAAATCCAGTCAAAAGAAACTTCTTATCACAGGTATGGATGTAGAGATGCTGAGTTTGGGAGTAGAGAACAAACATAGTTCATACAAACCAATTTTGTATGATCCTATTTATCCCTGTAACAAAAATCCACAACAAAAAGGAAATATTTGGGCAGAAACTGAAGATATGCTGGATGCTGATGGGTATTTTTTTTAGATGTCATATTAAATTAAGCATTCATTTCCGCAGGATTTGCTCCTATGAATCTAATAATAATATCGCAGATGCTCTCCTTGAGCTCCGAGAAAGTCAGAGAGAAGGAAGACGGGAGGAACAGCGGAGGCTGTAGGCTTTGCTTTGCACAGGCAGTCTGGAACGCTGCAGGGCGGAGCGTTGGCAGAGGATGTGGGATTTCGGGGTTAGGGTCTTGCTCGGAGACCCAGAGGGCAGCATGTGGGGATTGAAATGGGTACTTGCAGCCTTCTCAGAGAACAAGTGCACTGCTCTAACCACAAGGCCAACACTCCCCACTAGGGTTAGTTCAGCCCTAACCCTAACATCAGTGGATTTATGATACCTCAAATAGTTCTGTATTTTAAATTTCTTACCTTGTCATGTTGGACCTTAACATCAGTAGACTAAATACCTTCATAAACTGCCTACCTACCCTGTATAAATGACTTAGATGCAGCTGACAAATTAATCAGACATTGATAAATTATCTATTAGTCATTAATAAATGGTCTATTTGCCATTTATAAATGATGATTAGACTACCAATTCCAGCATGCCTAACCTATACTTTACACAAGAGCTAGATTGACATCAGCAAGGTTTCAGGTCAAAACAAGGAGTCAGCTCAGACCATAAAACCAGTGCTGACCAACTGACAGGAGTTTTTTGGACATCTTCAACCACTCTACAGCATACTGTACTCTGGTTCTTGACTGTGTGAAAATGTCCATCACCATGCCTGGACCTTAAAAATAATACATCCCCTGTTTCAGCGATTATCTCCTGCTCTGACATAGTCACCATGAAGTACCTTGAGAAGATCCCCTGTACAAGCTTGCAGGAGAATCGTTTGACAGAGAATAGTGTCTCTTTAGCATTTCAGACTTTCATAGACTGTCTCAAAACCAGCTATACATTATGTAAATACAGCATGGTACATTCCAAGTATGTATGTTCTTGCTTTTATCTTAGATGTCTCCTCCATGAATGTATTTTAAATTTACGTCTGTTTATTGTATCAGCATTTTATGGTGGTGTGTTAGAAAAATGTTATTATGGTGATATAATGGCAACAATTTATCTTGATTCAGGTAATGAAAATAATAGACAGATATACTGTGGCACTACATTAGCCTGCTCCCTGTGTTGTTGCTTTTTCCATAGATCGTGGTTTTATGGAACTGTGACAAGCCTTTACCTCCTCGAAATAAGTGGCCCTCCACCAGCGTGCCTCTCACTGTCACTGAAGGACAGACCAAGGTAACAGCTGCTGGCTTTTTGCATCCATTACTGTGTTGAAATCGACTTCAAGCCGAAGAGATGAAAGCATTTATCTGCACTTTAAAGATATTTACCAAAAGGTGCTCCAGGAAATTAAACTTCAACGTTAAAGCCCAGGCTTTTTTTTTTTTTAAAGCAGATAAGATGTAGGTCCACACAACCTTCCGTACAAATAAAGTTCAAGTTGAGTACTCTTTAGGCATGAATAGTGTTTAGATGCCCTCTTAAATCTTTATATTTGTCCGCAGTATTGTCTGTTAGTGTAAAATATAGATCAGGAACTTTTTCTGTACAATTATAACAAGCCTCCTGTTTGTTTGTATGTGTATTGATGCGTTGATATCAAAGTCAAAGAAGTTTACCAGTTTTGGTATGCAGAATTATAGCTTTACGTTCACACCAAACAAGTTTTGGGTGTAAAAGCATCTGACTTACATACAAAGTCTATGGTGGACAGCATCAAGCAGCATTAAGAGGTACCACGGCGTGTCAGAGTGTCTTGGCGTTCCAGCATTGGGGAATCCCAGTATTCGATGCTGGATTTCAGAAATCTGAACTTCAGCAGCTTAACGCAAAGTTCTAACCAATCAGAAAGGATCACCCAGAAGTTTTGTGAGAGATAAACACTGCATCAGGCTTTTAGCTAGGAATATTTAAGTTTTACACCTTAGTTTATCACATGTTTATGCTTTGTGCGCCGTAGGGTGGTTCCAGGGGAGGATACCCCTGAAAATTTGGAAATTTAGACTCTCTGAAATGCTATTTTCTGCATTTTGAAGTGGAATCCAGTTAACTTTTTGTCTTTGTTTCAACACTACTTTTGTCTTGATTATGGGAAGTATGTGTGCTTGGTGCTTCTGCTGCTTCTGAGTTCAGTGACAGAGAGTGGGATTGCCATGTTTGCTGTGATAAGTGGGTATAAACTAGTTTTAATATATTTTTTTATGAGAAGTCTACGTCAAAATATCTGTGCAGTCAGTTTATCAAGAGTATGATCCTGCATGCCTTAAAATATTATTTTACTGTTGGAACCACTCAGACCCCCACATACCGGCTGTGCACTGTCACTGGCAATCCCCAGCTGCAGCTGCCTCAGGCCGAGTTGCCTCTTTGGGGGTTTATTGCTATTGTTTGTAGCGGCTGGAAGTAGATGTTAGCAATTTTCAGGTATGTGGTACAAACAGCAGGCACCAGAATAATAAAAGCGAACAAATTTTGCAGGCAGGTTTTGACATTTTAAGTTAATGAAGGAACGCTATGAACAGCAGAAACATGCAATAGGAGGAGAGTTATGTGTCAGAGGTTGTGTGTGAGTCTACTCCGATATACATTTTTTTTTTAGAGGAGGAAAGGGGGGACAAAATTGTTGTGGAAGAGGACGTCAGCGCAGCAGAAGCTTCGTTTGGTGTAGAAGGCTTACAGCCGTACATGTTTGAGCCCTTGACTCGTAACGCTGCCAGTTCTGTTAGCTCTACGCCTGCCAAAGATACAGACGTCCATCCCTGTGAACACCGGGACATAAAGTAAATGATTTTTTCTTATTTCAACCGTATTTTAGTTGCAACATATGAATCAAGATCCTATGACTGAAAATAAATGTGATGATTGGCCGAATTTAGGTGTACAAGCTGACATATAACTAACTGGCCTGCATAAAATAATGGGTAAAAAAAACACAGATTTTATATTCATATTTATTTATTTTTTTTTATAGAAATTTTCTAACTTTTGGGACAATATTGTCTGGTAAATAGTACATTTATATACATGTTTAAGCCAGAATGATTTTAAATTTAAATATGACTTCCCTATGAGTTTAAACAGTTTCAGAGGAGTGATCGTAACGCTCTGCATCAGCAGCGCTGTCTCTCTCCCTGCCAGCTCCCAGATCAGCTTCTCTGATTGGTTTATGTGGTGGGTTGAGCAACAATAATTCAGCTGCTTCTGAAATTTTAAATATTTGGGCAAAGTTTCTGGAGGAAAATAGGGTGTACCAAAGCTGTACATCCCAAATACAAGGCTTACAATTTGTCATTTTTTTTAGTAAAGGGCATATGATGTGGCAGCTGTGATTGCTTCTGCAAAACTGTCTCAACACGAATAGTAAATAAATACAAGAAGTTAATCTCCACAGGTTTTAATAAGCTAGGAGAAATTATTTTTATACAAAGGAAGAAAGCAAGCACTGATCATTATAACTTTTGTTCTTACTGAGCTGTGAACAGTTTATAAACCATTTTATATTCACTTTAATCCGCTATGAATGGCAACAGGAAATCTCCGACAGCCTGCACGACTTCAGAGAGCTTTCACTGGGGAGTCCTAGCACTGAGGCCAGACGGTATGTAGGGAACTGCAGCTCTGAACGAGAGGAGAATATTTTAGCAGGATCATAATCCTAATGAACTGACTGAACAGTGACCTTTTCAGGTGAGAACCAAAGCGTAAAGCATAAAAGCGTCATGACCAATGTTTGGCCTGGTGTACAAATTTCTGTATTTAAGTGTTTTTGATGCCCAGAACGTGTTCCCTGTGAATGTACCATAAGGTGGGAGGGGCTGACGGTGGGAGTATGGGATTTGACCTTCAATACCATAGACACTTTCAAGATATTGATAATCCACTCACCAATCTATCATTTATATCTGAATATTCACTTAGAGTTGTAAGGGTCTAGTGCCTATCTCCAGTGGCCATTGGTTGGTAGGCAGGGTAAACCCTGAAGAGGTCATTGGTCTACGACAGGGCAACACAGAAACACACAAACAGCCATTCACATACAGAAACAAAAAAAGGAGTGTCGAAAGTCAAATTTATCTTGTATTATTTTCATCATTATATTTATGATAATAGTATAGTATGATGATTAACATTAATACCCCAAAACTGCTGAATTGTGGATTTGTCAAAGTGAGTGGTGGGAGACCAGGGCATTTGCTTCCTAGATAGACAGCTAAATCTCTTATTTGACTACAACTCCCTGAAGGCTCAGTTATAGTAGTGCTGGGGGTGGGCCCTCAGGGTTCCGGTGGTGGTGTTCAACCCTAAACAAATGCTGTTGACTATTAGGTTTGTCACTGACATTGATATAGTTTTCTTTGAAAACCTCAGGGGGCAGAACAAAACATAATCTGTGAAAATGTAGTGAAACATAGAAGTGCTTAACATCATAGAGCCAAAATGGCTGCATATGCAATGGAAAACATTTTTCTTGTTAACATGAGTCTTTTTCTTGCAACAGTTCACACCCTTTACAAGATTGTTATAGGAAAGTTTATACAAGACATCCAAAGTTGATGCAAGACATCGAAGTACAGCTTAAGTACAGCGAGGAGAGGAAAGAGCAGGAAGAAAAAATGGAGAGTTGGTTCATCTAATCATCAGTTAAGTACAGAGGTCTTCAACACAGGGTACGCGACCCCTAGGGGGTCCACAGAGGTACTGCTATGGGGTTCGCAAAGTTTTGGTTGATTAGACTGTTTTTGTATATTCCCTGCTGCAATTTTTTCCACAAATTGAAATATCTTTAAATACACATTAAAGTGAATTCATAAATGGAGGCAGAAGATGTCTTTCAGTCATCAATGCACACATTCGGTGACACACAGGAGCTCTTTCAAGCTGGGAACCGTTTCATTCACAACACATGTCCCATCAACCAGGAATTAGAATCTGAAATAATTTAGTAATCACTATGACTCCATATGTAATAGAGTGACTATAAGACCAGTTAGATATACCGGTAAAAACAATTTCATACAATATACACTCACCGGCCACTTTATTAGGTACACCTGTCCAACTGCTCGTTAACACTTAATTTCTAAGCAGCCAATCACATGGCGGCAACTCAGTGCATTTAGGCATGTAGACATGGTCAAGACAATCTCCTGCAGTTCAAACCGAGCATCAGTATGCGGAAGAAAGGTGATTTGAGTGACTTTGAACGTGGCATGATTGTTGGTGCCAGAAGGGCTGGTCTGAGTATTTCAGGAACTGCTGATCTACTGGGATTTTCACGCACAACCATCTCTAGGGTTTACAGAGAATGGTCCGAAAAAGAAAAAACATCCAGTGAGCGGCAGTTCTGTGGGCGGAAATGCCTTGTTGATGCCAGAGGTCAGAGGAGAATGGCCAGACTGGTTCGAGCTGATAGAAGGGCAACAGTGACTCAAATAACCACCCGTTACAACCAAGGTGGGCAGAAGAGCATCTCTGAACGCACAGTACGTCGAACTTTGAGGCAGATGGGCTACAGCAGCAGAAGACCACACCAAGTGCCACTTCTTTAAGCTAAGAACAGGAAACTGAGGCTACAATTTGCACAAGCTCATCGAAATTGGACAATAGAAGATTGGAAAAACGTTGCCTGGTCTGATGAGTCTCGATTTCTGCTGCGACATTCGGATGGTAGGGTCAGAATTTGGCGTCTACAACATGAAAGCATGGATCCATCCTGCCTTGTATCAACGATTCAGGCTGTTGGTGGTGGTGTCATGGTGTGTGGAATATTTTCTTGGCACTCTTTGGGCCCCTTGGTACCAATTGAGCATCGCTGCAACGCCACAGCCTACCTGAGTATTGTTGCTGACCATGTCCATCCCTTTATGACCACAATGTACCCAACTTCTGATGGCTACTTTCAGCAGGATAATGCGCCATGTCATAAAGCTGGAATCATCTCAGACTGGTTTCTTGAACATGACAATGAGTTCACTGTACTCAAATGGCCTCCACAGTCACCAGATCTCAATCCAATAGAGCATCTTTGGGATGTGGTGGAATGGGAGATTCGCATCATGGATGTGCAGCCGACAAATCTGCGGCAACTGTGTGATGCCATCATGTCAATATGGACCAAACTCCCTGAGGAATGCTTCCAGCACCTTGTTGAATCTATGCCACGAAGAATTGAGGCAGTTCTGAAAGCAAAAGGGGGTCCAACCCGTTACTAGCATGGGGTACCTAATAAAGTGGCC